CTCTTTGCAGTGGTGCCCAGTGCCAGGACCAGAGGCCATGGGCACACACTGACGCACTGGAGGCTCCCTTGGAACATCAGGAAACACTATTTTACTGTGAGGGTGACTGAGCACTGGCACAGGTTGCCAGGGAAATTGTGGAGTCTCCATCCTTGGAGATATTCAAAAGCCATTTGGACATGGTCCTGGGCAACCAGGTCTCAGTGGCCCTGCTTGAGCAGGGGGATTGGACCAGGTGACCTCCAGAGATGCCCTCTAACCTCAACCATTCTGTGATTCTGCACAGCTATCAGCAAGAACAGAAGCTCTAGCCTTATTTCAGGTAGGCTCACGTCTAACTGATTTACAGCCTTCTGTCCACCAATACTTGTGTCTGTTTGGCTTAATTTTAAACATGCGCTGAAATGTTTTGCTTGAACAGGCACTTGTCTTCACAGCCTGGCCACTGAAGCTGTGCTGCATTGGTGCCAGACCACTGAATCACTAGATACTCACCTCTGTTGGAAGTTAAGGAAAAGTGGACACCCAAGTACTTTTGTGGATGATGACCTTAAATCCCTCTAATCAGTGTCAGGGCACCCATTCTGCACCTCCCTTGTGAAAAGAGAATGAAATCCAGTTACTGTGGAACCTGGAAAGTGCTTCGAGATGCACGGATAAACCCACACCCTATTGTTCATTATTGTTATAATTATTATCCACTCTAATATATCCACTCTATAATTATTATCCACTTTTCTTCCTAATGACTCATAACCTTCTGTAGCTGTGCATTTGGGAATTTCACACCACACCAATCATTTTGTTTTTACATTTTTTTTTTCACTAAAGTTTTTAAATAATGATCAGTACAGTACAAAGCTTAAAATATTATCAATGTTTTCAACAATACAAAGTCAGCAGATGGGAGTTGGGAAGGGGATGGTTAATATGTAACACTTATACCCTTCCCTGTTTCCCAGGGAAAAAAATACAAACTCTTTTGTACTTGTGTTTAGTAACAAACAGGGCTTAAAAATAATCTTGTCAGTAAAAGATATAAATTGCAAGGCACATGAGGAACCTGTCCTTGCCTTGTTACACAAATCATTAGGCATAAATACAAGTTTAAGGCACCTCTCTCCATCCTCCCCTTCTACTCCGTACACCAAGTAAATCCTGTCAGTGGGTAGCAGCTGTTAAGAGCAACCATGGACCGGCAGATAGCAAAGAGGCTGCCTCTGAGCCTCAGGTTCCTGCGGGATGAATCCCAGAAAGGAACAGCATAAGGCACATTGGGATGAATTCTCAAGGCTCGTCCTGTACAGATCCAGGTTGCAAGATCTGCAGAAATACTATCTCAGCACCAGAGATTCCTGGGGAGAGGGTTAGGACCTCGGTCGCTTCAGGATCTCAGATGTGCTCAACCTTTGGTGGGCAGCTCTTCACCAAACCCTGCCTCTGGTACACCCCTCCCAAGCTGCGCCTCCTTAGAGGAACACCAGGGTGGAAGGCGGCGTGCTCCAAGCAGTGAGCCCAAGGAGAAAGCCCTGAGAGGCTCTCAGACAAGCTGAGCATTTATCACAGCAGCACTTTTATGCTCTCCGGACCCATCCCTGGTCTCCCCTAGATCAATGGCCGGGCTTTCAGGAGGGCATCGGCAGCCCCTTTCCAGTGCCGGCCCAGTTGAGGTGCAGCAGACTGCACGGCCTGTGGAGTCTGCCCAGTCAGGCAACTAGGTGTGTAAGGCACAAGGATGACGTCTGGGGATGAGGGAAAGAAATAAGGTGGTTGGAGGAAGAGGAGGAGGATGGAGACAGGGATGAAGGAAACTCCAGTGTTGGTGAGCCCCTTGTGACATAAGGGTGCATCCTGACAGCAGCAGCGATCGGTATTGCAATTCCCTGCTAGATCAGCCCATCATAGTAACCAGGAGGTCAGCTCCAGGTCTGAGCGCAGGGCCACACGGGGACGTGAGTGGCTTCACCTGAGGGGTAACATGAGAGTATGTAAAAACACCACCACTGTCACACAATTGCTCCAGAGGGAGAAGTTTCAATTCTGCTGGACCAGGGAGGAGAAGACGTATAACCAGAAATACCTTGGAGGAGCCTTTTGGGCACCTCCTCTCCCTGTCCCTGAACTAGACGGCATTACTGTACTCATCCTCCTTTGACAAGGGCAGGACATGTCATCTACTTTCAAACCCTTAGAGAAGGAAATGCCTGGGTGATCCCTTCCTTTGGTACCAGTATAACTCTAGGTAGCAGCAGAGGAGGGTTTGCTGTCAGCAGCGATGCCCACGCCCTCTCAGTTTTAGCCCAGAAAGGAACTCTGGACCAGCCTGGTTTACTCCCCTTCCAGCACAGAAGCCCGCTGATACCATCCAGCCAGACCCACAGTGGCTTATTCTGCTTTACCTACCACAAAAGCAAGGCCAAATAGGCTGTGGGAAAAAGCACTGCTCCCACTGGAAGTCTTTCCCCAAACCGGGAGGAGACCCACAAGCAAAGCCACAGAGCCCATGAAGGGAGCAGTCCATCGGTGCAGCTAAGTTGGCTGAGCAACCAGCTGCTGTGCAAGGAGGAGTTGCTGCTGGCCTCCGCTCCAGCCCTTCCCTGCAGGCAGCAGTGGTGTTCAAGTGAGCTGGATGAAAGTTAAAACCAGCAGAAAATTACTGACATTTTTTCAGTAGGATTGGTTTTCCACTGGTCCATCTCCTGGCCCCAGCTCGTTTTGCGGGAAGGGGTATGATGAGGTGTAAGTGGGACCATCCCCCACTTGCCACTCCCCTGAGGCAAATTTTCTGTTAGGTCACTATGGCTGTACTGTCAAAAGACACTGTAGGAAATGAAGTAATTAATTTCTAAGCTGCATTGGATGTAAACCAGGAGGCCTAGAGTGATGAGAAAGGGTGGACTAGATGACCTCCTGAAGGCTTTCCTATGATTTCTTCTCCTGTACTCAAACCTTACTTCCTTCCCCCTTTGTATTTAATTTGTCAATAAGGCCATGAGTTTCACATTTGTCCACAAAACATAGGACACAGCAAAGCTCCTATTAATAGATCTGTTTTCAGAGAGGCTGTTGTCTGCCCACCTTGTTCCTCCAGCAGCACAGCACTGTTTCCTTCAGGCTAATCTTGACCCAACCAGGAGGCTCTGCAGATATAAAAGCCAAAGGCAGAGCCTTTCTGGATAATAAATCATGCACGCACACACATACACAAACACACCCACCCCTCAATAGTTAAAAAAACAGATCAAGTGCAGAAATCAGTGCTTGTCATGACAAATCATATCCCCAACCCTACACTCTGCCTGCTCAGAACCAGCAATCACAATTCACTTGCCTGTCCTTGGATTCAATGAGACAAATCTGTGGCTGGAATAGATCCCACGGCTTCCTTGATCCCAACAAAGATTTATAGCTTCTAAGAATTCGCCAGATGTCAAGGCATTAGAGTTTGCAGCTCTTGCACAGTGTATAGCCAGGAGGAGCCGTGCCAGGATTTACTATGGAAAGCAAGCAGGGGGTCACACAGTAGGTGTCTAGGCTGCATGGGACCATCTCTCTGCATTGGCTCTGAGCATCCTGTCCTGCAAGTGCTACCAACTTCAGAGCAACAGTGTGGCTCCATATCTGATGCTCCCCCCAAGCAAGCACAGAAGAGACTCATCTAATGGGGGCCACAGTAAACCAATCCTTTCTACACCTTGGACAGGACTGACCCACGGACATTAAGTGTCCCTGACCACCATCTTTGCTACTCCACACAGGAATCACCAACTCTAAAGGACAAACTTGTCCCAAGGTTGCATAGGACCCTAATGCTGTCACCCTGCTCTTGCCTTTTGCTGATAAAAACGTGCCAGATTCACGCCACCATTGGTCAGGGAAAAGCAACCCTGCAACTTCAAGGTCAGCTTTCCCACGAGGCCCACCAAGGATTGTTTGGTATACTGAAAAGCACCATTAAAAGGAGAATAAAGACTACTTCACTTTCATACCCTTTTGGCCATGACCATAGTAGGGCTGTTGGAGGCCCAGGGCCCTTCCTGTATCAGACAGGTCACATCCAAGTTACTCTACACTGCATGGACAGTGCTGGAAGTGAGTCAGACTCCCTAGACAGGTGATATAGAGTCAGTCTACGCAGCAATGCATGAACCTGTCACACAAGCAGCCAAAATGATGCATCCTGCATCAAAAGCATCTCCCCTGCTGGGGCCAGCACCCTGAACGCTGATGACCTCAGGGGTGCTCAACCTCTGCCTCTGCTACTGAGAAAGGCTCAAAACCATCTCCAACCTAGCCCAGGCCCAGCTCCACAAAGGCAACTAAGCACTTAAAATGGAAGTAAGGAGCCTTTGAAGACCTGTCTTGTAGGCTACCAAACAGCCATCAGCATTGCCACTACCTTAGGTGAAATTCAAACTGCTGAGAAAGACCCCATCTCCTGTTAGTAATCCTTGGGACAGCCTGACTCCTTGGTTTTGATGAGCAACTCCATTGCAGATGGTGCAGCCATACAGAAAGAGAAGATGGAGCTGACCCACTATCTCCACCTGTGCTGGACCCATACCAGTCACCAGCAGACACAGGACTCAGGTTCAGACCCAGTTCGTCCTAGAGGACCCTAGGTCAGGCCTAAATCGCCAAACATGCTTTGCCAAAGCCACTTCAGCAACCTGGCGTTGAGATACTTGACAAGAGGACCGCAGAGAGAACATGGCTTAGCCCAGCTGGAGCAGGAAAAGGATTATACCAGCCACTGTGCCACACGTGCCCTTGCAGCTGAACCCTAGAAATGCAGACTCCTCCTCAAACCTTGCCACTGCCTTTGGTAAGTAACAGGTCTCCCACAGATAGCAGAGATGGCAAAACCCAGAGAGGTCATCACATCCAGCTGTGGTCCTCATGGTGCGTTCTCCACTGCGTTGTGAGCCCTAGCAGACCCTTCTACAGTCTCACGACCTTCAGGCTGCCCTCCCTGACATTCAGCAAGATATCACCCACAGGTTTACCAGAATGAACAAGAAACCTCTGCCTACTCCAGCATCCTTGGTTACATGACTTGTTCTGGCTTAAAACACCCCATGTCTCCCTGGATGACAAAAGGAAGTCCCTGCTGTGAAAATGCATCCAGCATGAAGTCTCCAGCCCTCTACCCGAGTCCAGCGTCCCGGTTAGTCACAGCGTGTTAGGCAAATAAGACAGTTATGTCTCTAATATGTTACGCCCCTTTTCGTGATTTTTCACTACCCCGGTGATGTCATGCTCATCACGTTCATGACTCTCAGGAGTCCTTTTTAGCCAGGCTGGCCTTGATCATGCATCGCAGGATGTAAGCTGTGAAGGCACTAAAAGCCACCAGGCCAAAAAAAGAGATGCAGGAGAGATAAACAGAGAAAGGCTCGTGTCTTTTCAGGAAAATCTCCTGCCTGTTCTTGTAATCCAAAAGAATGGCCTCCAGCTGTGATAGGGTGCAGATGGCCAGGAACGTGTGGAAGATCTGGTGGGCATGGCCAAAGATATCGCAGGAGCCAGGGAAGTACTTCTCAGGGACCGGGCAGGAGAAGAAATAAGCACTGATAAGGAAAAACAGTATCTGGTACGTGTGGTACCAAGCAGCATCTTCCTCACAGCCCCCCAGGTGACACATGACCACCCGGTGAGCGACAGGACTGATATCCAAGATGAACGCCAGCCCGGCTGGGATCACTTGGCACATCTTCCTCATGATGGGGTAAGGCCGTCGGTACCGATATTTTGCATAGCAGCAGCCAGCACAAGACAGCCAGCCACAGAAAGCAGCTGCCGGCAGGAAGAAAAGCCAAAACTTGTCGTACCAGGCTTGGTCAGAGCTGTAATAGAAATGGGCCAGGGCACTACCATACTGGTAGATGCTGACTCCAACATAGTCCACAAAGTAGAAGGTGTAGTGGTACAGCTCAGATTTGGACTGCAGTAGGTGGGCCAAGAGGCTGCAGGTCAGGTAGGTGACAGAGGAGAGGACAAAGATGAGCAAAGGCAAGGACCACGCGTCCACGGGTAACTCCTCAGCCTCCACAAACGTCTTGAATCTCAGCAGCACAGCCAGCGCTGCCAGGAGATGAGTCCATACGTTCACTACCTCATTGTGCTTCTGGAAGAGGCTAAGGAAGTAGTACCGCCAGTCCTGGCCGGTGGGACGGTACCCGGTGTGGATGTACGGCTCACGGAAGAGCTGCGGTACCTCGTACTCTTTGACCGTGCAAGGCATCTTGGGGAAGCCATCCTCCAGCAGCCTTGGGAGACGGCTGAGATGCTGCCCGCTGAGGGACAGTGTGCTGATCCGCTCCAAGATGGCTGTCATCTCGCTGCGTGCGATGGCTGTCAGCCCGCCTCTGGGGAACGTCGTCTTCGTGCCCTGCAGGGAGGGGAGAAAGAAGAAACATTAACAGCGATGCATCAGGGAGAAAAGCGTGCTGCCATTCCTGGGTGGGATGAGCCATGGTGCTATTGAGATGCTGGCCCTGCTCTTAGGGCTTTTCTTAAGTCAGCAAACCTAAATTCAGCATGGAGAAGGATGGCATAGCTCTGTCCCTGTGGTTCAGCCTACGTCAGATGGGCACAGCAATGTCACGAGCCTGCCCTTCTTCCTCGCTTCCTCGGGACTCAGCTTGGAGCATGTTCAGGAACAGCCAGGAGCTGCCAATAAGGGGACACAAGAAGCAGGCAGATGTCAAGAAAGCACCTGATGATTTGCGGAGGGGATTTTTCACCCCTTTCCACAGAACAAATTGCTCAGGGACAAAATTGGGGTGTAATTACTCATCAAAGGGGTAACCTGCATTTCTGCACCTAAGCAAAGAGGGTCCCATCCAAATTGTGGAGGTTGCAAATAAGCCCGGCTTCCCTGCCACACAACTTGCACATGGGTCGCACGCCTGGGGCTGCTGCAGTGAGTACGGCAGAGGGAGAAGGGGAGAGATCCACGGTCCCAAACCTGCAGCCCTTATCCCTCCACACGTAAGAAGCAGCAGGACTGGGAGGTGACGGAGAAACGAGGGGCCCTGCGTCAGAGCTGGTTGCAGTTTGGGTGTAGCATCGAAGCCTTGGGAGCATCCACGGAGCCATGCTGAGGGGCTGCCAGAGGAGACGTGCCTGGATGCTCAGGGCAGCAAAACCCCAGTGCTGGGCACTCCTCTACCTGCTCTGCTCCTTGGCAACCTCCAGAGTTGCTAAACTCTGGCTGGAAAGATTCAGATTCAGGGCACGGCAGGATCCTAATGTCTGGAGACTATCTCACAGCATTGAATTACTTTGCAATACCCTGTTTCCCTTCCACCCTAGATATTTCTCTTCCCTGCTGGTGTTTATGCCACACAAAAAAAAAAAGGGGAGAACTCAGCACACAGATGCCAAAGCTTGAGCTGAAATTGGTGCTGATGGAGCCCCACCAGACTCTGCAGGGCTGTGGCTACCCCAGTGCAGCAAACACCTACATGTTTGCGGGAGCGGGGCCTGACTCCTAGCTTATATGCACCCAGCCAGAGCTGCAGTGGATGAAGATGGCCAAAAATAACTAAACGCAAGTAAGTATTTTGCCTGAGTGTGGGAAATGGTTTATTTTTCTCCCATAGCATCAGACACCAGCTGCTGGCAGAGGTGAGACAGAAGAATAGTTTGCACGGGCGCATGATGGGAGACCTGAGCTAGGCTGGCGATAGAGAGGACAGGTCAGAGTTAAACACTGAGAGTGAAAGCAGAGAGATGGGACCTATCAAACAGTCCCAGGGTGAGACAGCACAAAGACCAAAGTCAGAGCAGACTCTGAACCGGGTTGCAAGTTCCACTTCCTCTCACAACCCAAAGCCTCTGATAACAGACAAAGTATTTTCATATTGCTTCCGTATTCTAGCAGATGGTACTTTTTGTAACTAAGAGTTACATTTTCCAGCCACTTCTCTCTCTCCCTGCGCTTTCCAGGCTTTCTCCCTTAGCACTTCTCAGGGCTGGCTTTGTTTTCTGTTTTTTTTTAACTTTGTTTGCCACAGGGGAATCTGGCTATTGAGTTTGATGGAGCTGCCTTAGCCGCAAAAGGTGGAAGGGAAGATGGTCCCTGCAAATGGTGTTTTAGTTTTGCAGATGGGTAAGTGAAGATAGCACGTTTGCTGGGGGGTTTGACATTGTGCACATTCACAAAGACTTTGTTTCTCTCCTAAGGTTCTGCAGGGTCTGGACCTGTGATGGGGACAGGCACTTCGTCCAGCAGCTTGTGTTATCTCTGGGGACGCACGCCAAAATTTAGGAAGGCAAGGCAAATTTTGACTCTGGGACACTCCTATGAGGGGATGGCGTGAAAAAGGGGCGACACTCCCTTTCCTCGGTTCTGATGTACAGCCAGTCTATTCTGGCTCCTTGTAGCCAACGGAGAAAGAAAGGCTCATCATCCAACTTACTCTAGTCCTCAGCTTCAGGACAAGGCAAAGCCCAAGCAAGGAGACCATCCCCAGCTATGCAGCACTGAAGTACTCGCCTTCTGCTGTCCTACGTCTCCTTTGGATGATCTGGCCAGAACTTGGTTGGAGGCTGAGCACATTGGGGTGGGAAGGACAGGGAGATTTTATGGATGTGTCTGTACTAACACAGTGTTCGATTTCCTGATCTAGATGCACAGACGAGAGTTCCCTTCCCACGCTGACTGCATCTCCTTCACTGCAACGCCAAGACATCTGCTGTCTCCAGCTGACGATCTCCAGGCCTTATGCACAGGTTTTGCCCCGTGCAGAGATGTGAGTGCAGACTCTGAAGTGCTTTGAGCCCTAAGCTCCTCTGCCCTGTCCGTTAACCAGCCGTAATGTGTTTTACACCTCTCCCAGCATTTGCTCTGATACAAGCCAGGCAAGAGGGCTTGGACTCCCGCTCACGGTCTCCCAGCTTCCCTTTAACTAAGTGTGGTCCAAGGATTTGACCCCACTACAGGGAGCTCAGTGCTCAATCTTCCACTCAATTCAGCCCAGCAGGATGCTGGAAAACCCTCCAAAAAGGTTTTTAGGCACTGATGTTGGAGGTGGGGATACAAGACACAAGGGTAAAGGGCATGCTGAAGCTCCCCACCTCTTGGAGAACACACGCTAATGCTAGTGCAGACTCCAGGACACTGGGAATTTAACAACAGCTCGGATACGGCACAAACTGGACAGGTGAGCTGCACAGGAGCAGGGTGGAGGCGCTTACCTCCTGCAGAGAGGCAGCAATACACTGAAACCTGCCTGTAAAGAGCAAAGGCGACCAGAAGACACCCGGGAAGATGGCAATCAAGCCTGGGCGTACGGATGTATGCCGACGCGAGGGGTGCATCGCCCCTTCCACCATCCGTGGCCTGCCTGCTTTGCATGCTGACGAGGATACAAGAGGGACAGGCAGCTTCTGTACCAGGCACAGGCTGGCGCCGGCTTGTACGGTGTGTGCTAGCGCCAGGATTTTGCCACGGTCTCTCATCCTGAGAGCTTGGCGTAGACAGCGAGCGTCGCCTTTCAGCAGAGCTAGGAAGAGCTTAGATGCTGCGGATCTCCCTGACAGCAGGAGAGAGAAGAGATTCTTCCAGGCAGGCTTTCATAGCTGGAAAATGCTAGTTTTTAACAGGCTGAGGGAGGGTCAGAGATTTTCAAAATAATAGTCCGAAATCACAAGTAACACATCTGATACTCAGATAAACAGCGCTAAATCAGGAAGCTGGTAGAGTGCTTATTTTAAACCGAACTTGTGACATTAATGAGTGAGAACAAGTTGGCAATTTCCAGCGATCATGTGATGGACAAAGCGACGAGCAATTAACGTTAGAAAAGAGAGAGAAAGGAAAAAGAAAAAAAAAAACCAACCCAGAAACCCAAGGTCAGCACTGGCTGTTTCACTTTCACAGAGCCCCTATTCTTTCCCCTTCACAGGGGCGTAGGAGCGGCTGAAAGCCACATTCATCGGCGGGGCGTCTCGTTGAGATTCTGTCCTCGCCCCCCCTCCCATCTCCGGGGGATTCAGTTATTTTGGCTGCTCCCAATTAACGACAACCAAGTAGCGTTTGTTCGGGGAGGGAGCTGCAAGGCGAGAAGGGGGGAGTGGATGATGGCCAGGCTGTATCATTACAGCCACAATAAGAACCACGGCACAGGAGGAGAACGATCCCGTTCCAATTTTTCTCTCCCTTTTGAAGAGAGTAATTGGAAACCCAAGCTTTTCCCAGCTCTTTTGCTTTTTGGTCACAGTCTGATGGAGGGGTTTAAATGAGAAAATTTCTTACAGAGTACGGCTGATTTTCCCACCGGTCTGGCCTCAGCGTTAACTGGGACTGAGGCTCTACCAATGGGATATGTTTGCTTGCAGAATAGTATTCAGGCATCAGAGGTTAACACGGGCTTCTAGAAAGGCAGTAATTCCTGGTAAACAAAGCAGAGAGGACCAGGGAACTCAGCTGTGGGGAAGTCTTTAATAAATGCATTGCATTTAAAATAGAAAAAAAAGTGGTTGCGGACAGCATGAAAATAACAGCAGTGATTGTGCAGCAGTGGGCAGCAGGCCAGTTTTGGGAGCTGCAGGTGATTAATTCCTGAATTCTTCTCTTCTGGGAGTGGAGCAAAAGTCCTTGGAGGGACTACAGGTCATTTTGAAGTCTGAGATTTTATACCAACCCCTTCCTACACAGGGTTAACGTTGGTGTTGCGGCTCCTACAGGGCCAGGATGGCAGAGAGCAGCTCAGCTCAGCTCTGCAGGGCTGGGAGAGGCAGCACCAAGGCTGCACCCAGCTCAGATGCAGTGGATAAACCCCATCCCAGAGCCTGCTGCCCACAGGCTGGTCCCACCTGAACGAAAACATCTCCTCCTGTAACTAAACCACTTGCGAAGGGCTCGGGGCAAATGCTGAAAGACCAGCTTGGGAGCACAGTGCCGGGTCCCCGGTCCCATTCTGCCCGGTGTTTTGGAAAGGCTCCA